AGTCATCTGTTAAAAAGGACCATCTCATTACATGAATGAAACCCAGAAGGTTTGAAATCTCTGCTGGTGGATTTTAAGAACAGGTTATTCTACTGACGTGCTGGCATAGTGGAAACCAAGAAGCTAGAGAAAAGCCCAGAACAGTGATTCTCAGGCTTTTCTCTATTTGGATGGCTTTAGTGGGCACAAGAACTGCACTGGGTACTCAGGGGTAATGGCGATCTCTGAGTTTTCCCTGTAAAAAATAGTGCTCATCAGATGTAGGGCTTCTAATATGGTTTCTGATGAGACATTAATGAGATAATGACTGGTTTAAGAAAACTGATGCTTGGTTTTCATTAGACATTATAACCAAAATACCAATTTATGTTTGAAACAGGTAGTGTAGACAGTCTGTTGGCAAAACCAGCACTTCCTCGGTAGGATGGATCCACAGCAGCCCTTAATGACACTTGGAAAATAGCTGGATGTCCTGTGTTGGTAAAGGCAAAATGTGAAGGATCTGCACACTAATGGTGGCTGTCTTGGTCTGTTTTGTGCTTTTATAACAGAATGCCACAGATTGTATAATTTATAATGAAAGAAATTTATTGGCTCAACATTCTAGAGGCTGGGAAGTTCAAGATTGAGTTTCCAGTGTCTAGCAAGGGTCTGCTTGTTGTGTCATAATGTGGTAGAAGGCATCTCAGGGCAGAAGAGCAAAGAAAGAAGAAGAGAGAGAGCAGAAGATGGAGAGGAAGGGAGGGAGAAAGAAACAGAGAAAAGGGGCTGAGTGTGTCCTTTTATAAGGGATGCACTCCAACAATAATGAGTCCACTCCTATGATAATGGCATTAATCCATTCATAAGCTTAATCAGCTCTTCAAGGCTTCACCTCTTAATACTGTTATAATGGCAATGAAATTTCAGCATGAGTTTGGGAGGGGACACACATTCAAATCATAGCAGTGGCATATTAGTGATGAATTCTATCCCCCTGTTATTGCTGAGCAGGCTTAGGCAAGACCTCTTCAGTCTGCCTTGGTGATCTTTCTGCCCCTCAGAATGTTCTTACCCATCCCATCCTCATGTCCTCTCTCCTCCCTACCTTGTCAGTCAGTGCTCCTCAGGGTAGCCAGTAGGGACAGTAGCTGCCCTACCTGAGGTGGAGAGGCTGAATGTATGTGACAAATGCATTCTGGGACATTTCCTGTCTCCTCTTCCTTCTAGGTCTCCAAATTCCCCATAACAAACAGGAATTGAGTAGATTGAGAGTGAATCTCTGTGGCATCACAACAAATGTAGAAAATACTGTTTAAAAAATAAATTACCTGGATTGACCTTTTAGATGTTCTTGATATTTTGGGCCTGTGGTTCTGGAAACTCTAAGTGTTTCATTTAATCATCTTAATTTACTTAACAGTATTTACTATTTTAAACAAAAGACTTTGTGAAAGAGAGTCTAGCCTTTCCCCCTGGACCCGGAGAGACAAAAATATCATGTTTTCCTCTGGCAAGTCAGTCAAAATCAAATCTTGCATCAATGAACAGATTTCAGAGCCTCTGATTTCCACTTCTAGAAGAAGTGATCTATGAGAGTGTCCTTGTTCAGAAACAAGGTAAAATGATTCGTGTTTATATGAAACAATCTAGTAAATTGTATGGATGCTTTCTTCATTTTGTTTTATGATAAAATTAAGTCATTTTCTCCCTTCATAAGACATTTTCCTTTGTAGCTTCAATCATCATAGTGAAGTTCAATGAACAACATCAAAATGATCATCATTTGAAAAAAAATCATCATTTGAAAATGTTCATTAGTCAACCTATTGTTCCAAGAAGCAAGATTTAAACATATTTTTTCTTTCTCTTTCTTTCCCTGTCACGTCCTTTGTGCTTCTTGGTGTAGATTTCGAATTTGGTGAAAACCCATCACCTTCTAAGTTATCATGAAATAAAAAGCCAGAACAATGTACAACATCGAGCAGTCAGGTGCATCAGTTGCATTTTCCTTGGTTGTGAGTCTCTTGATCCTTTGTTATCTCTGTGGCTGGGGAAATTGTACCTTGAATGTTCGTGGGTTAGCTGCAAAAGGTGGAGGAAAAGTTTTATTTTCATTCCTTCAGGTTTCCTTGTAGTATGACTTTCACATTTATGGACCATGCCCACCAGAGACCTTGTATGCATTAATCGTGGGTTAAGTCTCTTAGTGGGCACATTTGTACGTGTGGCTGACATAAAAGGAATGAATCAAATTTCATCTCTATGCCTAGTTTGGGTAGCATATGACTCATTTTCATGGCCCTAGAACTAAAACGTGGTAGTTAAAACAATAAAGTGATATTTATAGGGTAATTTTGATCAAGCCTGTCATAATTTTCTTTCCTGGGTAAGTCTGTATGTCCTTTGTTACAGCTCTAATTACACTGACAGCTTTTCAGAAGGAATGTTAGGGTAGAGGTTATTTAAACATAAAACTGAAGGTTTGACATCAGTTAAGAATGAATGATTTTTATTTCCTAACATGTATTTTAACGTAACAAAAACTTACTAGCTTATTTTCCTCCCCAAATACTGTCATTATTCTTATTTTATTGTATCATTTTTTAAAAATCATTGAGGCAGAAGAAGAATTGTGCTGGTCTCCCTTCCTCCTACCCAGGCACCCAGCAGCCTTAAACATTATTCCTCTGTTAAAATATGAAACAATGGTGCATTGTTCATCTCACTTCTGAGTGGGCTCCTTCATGAAACCCTGTAGCTGCAGGCCTCTTTCCATTTACAAATTTATAGAGTTCCTCCAGTGACTTGGCTCTTTCCACATCACTCCAGGGATCTCTATTAACTTAACACTCTAAAAATAACACTGCAGAATTGCTGAACGGGCGAGGGAGACCAGTAGGGCTGGGGGGGAGCTAAATATTGCTTGCATTGATCAGGAACTTGGGCCCTGCTCCCACGACACTTACTGTTTGACACCAAAGCTCATTAAGAACGTGTTTGCGCATCTGCAGGCTTGAGAGGCAGGGGAGTGCATCGGGCCCAGGAGTGCGGGTTGAGGAAGTGAGGATGCTGTTGCCAGTCACAGAGGTCTTTTCCTACCAACCTAGGGACTCCTTTCCTTCTGAATTAATGCAGCTTTTGTGTGAGTCTGGACTAGAACTGTCTTCCCTTCTGGCAAAGGTTCTTAGGTGAAAATAAAGCCAACTCTCACCTTGACTTTAATTCTAAACTCAGTTGTAAACATTTTTTTTGTACAGAGTGTAATTGTCTCATCAAATAGTAGATACGAGCATGTTTTACTTGTATAAGGCTGAGTAGCCTATAGAAATAATTCAGGTTCTGAAGTCTTAAGTTTAGCATTTCAGTCCTGTGTCTACGTTAGCTGTGCTGCACTGAGCTACTTATTGAACCTCCTCCAGCCTCAGATTCCCTATTTACAAAATAAGAATTTAATTGAAATTAATGCCTTTCTCACAGGATGATTGAGAATTCAGATGGGATAGAATTGAAAGTGTTTAGATAAATGTAAAAGCCGTAGTTAGTATTCTCCAAATATCTGCAGCATTAAGTTGAGCCAAATGAAATGCCAATGGTGAACCAATTTCTTCCTACAAAAGTGGCAGTTTCATGTGGTTCAACCAAATATATTAATAGGAGTTTTGGAACGTCTTTCTCATCTTACTTCTTTAAATTATCCCTGTGAGACAGAAAGATTATAAGCAACCTTATTTTAGCACCTGGGGAAATCAAAGTTTCAAAGGTTACTTGTACCAGGTTGTATAAAATCTGTGAGTGAACCTGTTTTTCCATTACTCAGTCTGTGGTTTCTTGCCTTTGCCCTGCACTTTAACGGCCTAATCCGAAAACGAGAAGCTAGAGAAAGATTATGACAAAACCACCTTCCCCAGGAGTTGAGCAGAGTGTAATACAGGAGGTCACAGCTTCTATACCAAATACCGACATTAAGGAACGGTTCTCCTGTTAAGCACGCTTTGTTGGGCTGGGGCTGACTTTCCTAAAGCGATGACACTTTCAGGGGCTGAGTGAACCTCTGTGGGGCTGCTGCATATTAGTTCCTTCTATTTATTGTACCCCAGAATCACCAACATGGGCAACTCAGAGCCGGCCTGGAGATCGGAGGATCTAACTGCGATGGGATGTAGCTGGTCTGCGTTGGAGTATGCTCCCATTCTGGGCTTGTCTCTGGCCCTGGCAGGTTTTCTCAACATCAGCACTATGGACATTTCGGGTCAGACAATTCTTTGCTGTGGCGGTTGTCCTGCGCATTGTAGGATGTTTAGCAGCATTCCTGGCTTCTACCCACTAGATGCCAGTAGCATGCTCTCCATTGTGACAACCCACGTCTCTAGACATTGTTAAATTGTCCACCAGAGGGGCAAAATCACTGCTAGTTGAGAACCACTGGGCCCAGGAGACCTCAGAGTGGGAGAGTGAGGGGTTGGGCTAGGCTGGACTAATGGTGACGTATTTCAAGACATTTACCAACTTGTCTGACGAGCTTCAACACACCTGAGGGAATTGCATTTCCTTTTCTCCTACCTTCTCATGAAAAGTGGTGCGATTAGATAAGAGATGAGTCATATTTGGGGATATTGTTAGTTGCAGATGAGTAGGAAGAGAGGTATGGAGTTGCCTAGGCCCTTAGATAGGAAGAAAAGCAGTCTAACTGAGGACCAGGTTCTCTCAATTTCCTGGCAAAAACATCTGTCTTCTTGTTTTTCTAGTTAATTATGGATTTTCATGAGCTCACCCAGCTAATCAAGTTTAATGACACTAGACCCAAATCACATTATTGTTATTTTTCAGAGCTGTGTTGGAACTGTGCCGCATTAACCTGCCAGCAGCCTGGAGACAACAGCAGCCACTCAAACGCTGGAGAAGCAATGCTTTTATTAGCAGCACAAACAGCCCTTTCATAACATGTCACCACTGAGATGATGCAGACAGAATAAAAGCAACAGAAAAAGGGAATTTTCCATAAAGAACACTTTAGGAGCTTTATTACAAAGTAGAAACTTTATTGCAGGATGGGCAATGGGACATGTGTCCTGTATTTACTACCACTTCCAATATAACTTTTGGTTTGGAGAGACAGAGAAAAAGATACGTAAAACGTTGATATTGCTCCTTCATTTCCATGTCACTGATGACAGCTTGACACAAGGAATTCTCAAAAGGCTGATTGTGACCCACCTTTGTGGGTCACATGCTGTTTGTGACTCTGTTCATACCCTCTTTTCTCGTCCTCAGGAATTTCTGGTGTAGAATGGACACAGTTGCCAGTCTTGCAATAGCCTCTGGACCCCACTTTCACCTCAGGTAAATAAAAAATATTGTGTATTCAGCAAAAAAAAAAAAAAAAAAAAAAAAAAAAGTGTTATTTGCCATTGTACTTTATATCACCTGGAGAAAAATTCATCACATTTTTCCGTTTAACATTTCATTTGGTCTGGATACCAAACCAACAGGTTTTTTTTTTTTTTTTCTTTCTTTCTTTCTTTTTTGGTTGGGGGGATATATTTAAAAAAGTGATGAAAAGAATTTTCTCAATTCTGCTGCTGAAGTGTCCTCTTTAGATCTTTGCACTGCTTTCAACACTTCAAATGGAGTATCCACATTTCATAATTCAATCACTCTCTTCTGAGGGGCAGTCTGTAATTCACTTCTGGGCCTCTGATGTTGCTTTGTAGATTCTTGCACCTAACAAACGAATCAGAATTTACTCTTTTCTCTACAAGTGAGAGACTTCTACTTGTTAGTACACCATGTCACAAAGATTTGCATGAGATTCCCGAATCTCATTATGAAAAGGCCAGGTTATTTGGGCACACGTAAAAGCAATGGGTTGGACTGCTTGAGTTTTGGAGTCAGATTGATCTGGATTTGAATCCTGGGCCCATCACTTTTTAGCTGTGTGACACTGGGCAAGTTACTTTGCCTTTTAAAGCTTTAGTTTCCTTATCTGTAAAATTGATGTGATAACAACAATGACAACAGTTAGATCATAATGTGTTTGTGAGGATAGAGTGAGGTAGTACATGTAAACTGTGAAGCAGAATGCCTAGATATAGTAAGTGCTCATTTGGTGTTAGGAAATGAGGGTGTAATTATTTCCAAGATGGGATTAGTCCTGTGACATTTGCCTAATTTGGTAAATTAAGCTGCCCTCCTCAATTAGTTCCTCACTATAACTATTAAGATCTCTTTGTCAAACCACGGTTCTCAGGTCTGCTTGAATATGTTTTAGGATAGTTAATGGCCAGAAGACTTCCCACAGAAACATTGTTGCTCATTTCTTAGGAAAGCAGAAGAGGATTATAAATAACAAGCAATAAAGACAGCAAATGTATGCTCCAAAAGTGAGGAAAAATCAGTCCTAGGGGAAGTCCTCTGAACTTTATTGCAAAAGATAGGAAAGAGACAATTGGAAATGTGGGAATAATCATAGCGCTTAAAAAAAATCATTGTTACTGCAGAACTAATTGGAGTTCATTGTGGTAAAGACGCATTTCTGGCTGTATTTATTTAAAGATGGTGAGCAGAATCAAGAAGGAAGAGAAGGTATTTTTAATAAGAAATCAAGGTACTGAAAATTCTGAAACTAACAAAACAAACTAAAAACAAGACTCAAACAAGCAGGATTCACTCATGCAGGGAGATTTTACAATGATGGCTTAAGGATCAAAATAAACGGATTAGGAACTAAAGAATTGGGAAAATAAAGCAAGAGCCTTTTATGGAGGTCCTTAGACCACTTTTTTCCCCCCGTTATCCTAGATTACAGCCATGTTCTGCAACCAATGAGGTCACTGTGAAATTTCCGGTGTTCAGTGAGGTTTCAGGTCTCATAGAGCTACTGTTGGAGAGACAACAGACAGGAGAGGTGGTGGCTAAATAGAGGTTACCTGGAGGTTGCTAGAATGATTCTTTGCTGCTTTGGGGTGAGGTACTGGGATGAGGTGGAGGTGCGTGTAGTTGAGGGAGCAGAAGATGGAAAGGGGTTAAGGGAAGGTAAATATTAAGTACCTCTTATGTTCTAATGGCTTTTGCATAGACTTGGCTATATAATCCCATAACAGTCCCGAAGAGATGATGGGACTATCCTTATTTTGCAGGTGAGCTTAATGTTTTGAGAGGTCTAGCAATTTGCCAGAGGTTACTTAGCTAGTAAGTGGTGGAGCAGAGATTGGAACCCAGGTCTGTCTGACTTCAAAGCCCATGAAAAATGGAGTCCTTGTAAGTTTTTTTCTCTTCCCCCTCAAAGAAAAATTATTGAAAAGAAATAAATATATTAAAATGGAGGAATTATGGTGTAAGAGTGTCCAAGCATTGAGTTTCATGCTGTTATGCTAAGGGTGAAGAGAGACAAAAAGATAATTTGAGCAATTTATCAAGCACTCTTTTCCCTAACAACAACTAATAAAAAAAAATAAGACAAAATAACAGCAACAACAAAAAATAACAGAACGTTGTCCCCAAAGTACTGTGGATACAGATGAAAAGGTATAGATTGGGAGACTGAGTCTATATTTTGACCAGTTTCAGTTTTTCTAGGTTTGGATCATCAACTCTAGCAATCATGGCAGAAGCATTTATGAAATGAGAATATTGAAAGATGGAATCATGGCAGACGTAATGACAGGTTTTGATAAATGGGAAAGATATTGAAAACTGAAAATGGATATCTGTTGGAAGAGATTTTAATTTTCTGGTAAAATAATGGAGCAAGTACCAGGAGAAAAGAAATCTGTAGTCGGAGGATAATATGGAGGATAATAGAATCATGAGCAATGAACAGTTCAGGTCTGTAAACAAAGCATCATGCCAAAAAACCCCCCGATAGCTTCCCACTGACGGAATTATAGAATTAGTGGATTAAAGGAAAAAATAAATTTAATATATTTGGGTTTTTGGTAACCCACAAGATAGAGGTAGAGAAAAACCAGGGTAATTAAATATAACAGTATAGCAAAGTCTTTGACACTAGGTTAGACTGGATTTTTCTTTTAAAAAGTTACTTTAGTTAGACTAGATTTTCCTAGAATTGCTGTGAACATGACTGAAGGTAGCTATTTCAACAGATATTGAATATGATAAATGATCATGATATTTAAAAACAAACTAACCCCCCAAACAAACAAAACTACATTGGGAATATTGCAAACTAAAAAGAAAACGTTCTCTTTTTGGTTTAACCCCAGATGGATTGTTTCCTGTTTAAAGGGGCTCTTATGAAAGGCACCTTTGTTTTTTGACTTTGCTCTTGTGATGATATGATAATGCATCCCTGCTCCCTTTGCTTGGGAAACATTCAAAGGTTCTACTCATCTGCTAAGAATCCCACAGGAAGAGATGCATAGAGGCCTTGGATGGTGCAGTTAGAGCTCAGACTGCAGTCTTGAAACAAAATGGTGACTGACAAAAGTTTTCAAAAGTGATTTTTAAAGGATATTTCTGTATTTTGATATGTAAGTGGGGTAACAGACATAATTATGTGGAAAAACAATTGTCTGTTCTCTATCATAAAACAGAATGAAGAAAGTGTGTCAATAAATAATCTCTGGGGAAGAGAAGTAATCTTTGTTAAGTATTTAATATGTGATTGGTGCCTACAGAATCTTAGGGAAGCATATTCACTGTATGAAGCCTTCAGCTTTAATGGAAGAAGACTTGGGAGGGCTCAAGTCCAGTTCCAAGAAACACACTTATTATTATTATTATTTATTGTGGTAAAGAATACATAACATAAAATTTACCATTATAGCTATTTTAAGTGTACAATTCAGTGGCATTAAGTACATTCACATTGTTGTACAGCTATCATCACTATCCATTTCTAGAAGTTTTTCATTATCTCAAACTATTCTCTCAGTAAAACATTGTGCTAGGCATTTGGGTGACACAGAATTGAATAACATACAGGTCCTGTTTTCAAGGAGCTTTTTTCTATGTCGGACAAAGATTGACTCAGCAATGTGTCTTACAAAGCCTCATACTTGGAGTGATGCAACTTTTTTGCACTCAGGGCCAGGAACTTGCCAGTATTCCTTTTTGTGATCTACAGATCTGCAGGTGGAGGACACAAAAGTAGAAGGAGATGTTTTTGCACAGCATGTCAGCTCAAACTTCTACCTTTTCGTGCCTCTCAGTGTGCTCATTTAGAGCCAGCTTATTCTGCCTTGTGAGAGCTAATCATGTGTTGTCTCTTCACAACTACTTGTTTGGTGACATCACATCAGTAGTTTGCAATTGGTCATAATGAGACCATTTACACCACAAAAGTCAGCAAACACTACAAGTCAGAGTCTCCCTGTTCCCCAACCCCCAATCAGTACCGTACTGGGTACGAGTTGTTTCAAGGATGAAATGAAATTAAGAGATTAGTAGTCAATTTGTCAATACAAGGCAGTTTTAGTTTTTGGTTTCTGAAGGCTGGTGCCACAGCCTGGTGTTTCCAAGACTTCTCAGACCGTTTTCCAGATTGCTTTATGGAAGTTGTTCTTACTTTTCAAGGGAAGCTTTTCACTAACTTTTTGACTCCACTTGTTTCTTCTCTGAAAACTTCTAGTCATCCCAGTGATCAGGGAGGGATCTGAAGCTCCATTAGCAATGATAAGCATTTACCTTACCCACATTTTGACAAATCTCAGATTCTGTTGAATTTTCTTCATCACATGTACATGAAAGCTGGCATGAAGATTATGTGGGCATCCATTAGAGTTATTTAAAATGTGAAGAATTGTCCTTATGATGAACTTTTTAGTAGACAAGAGTAACACTTTTGTAGGAGAAATTGGGTAGGCAAATATGCAAACAACAGCAGCAGCAACGATGACTACACTACTTACAAAGCTGAAAATTTCCCTCATCATGATTATTATTAATTTCTTTTTCTTTTTTTTTTTTTTTTTTGAGACAGAGTCTCGCTCTGTTGCCCAGGCTGGAGTGCAGTGGCCGGATCTCAGTTCACTGCAAGCTCCACCTCCCGGGTTTACGCCATTCTCCTGCCTCAGCCTCCCGAGTAGCTGGGACTACAGGCGCCCGCCACCTCGCCCGGCTAGTTTTTTGTATTTTTTAGTAGAGACGGGGTTTCACCGTGTTAGCCAGGATGGTCTCGATCTCCTGACCTCGTGATCCGCCCGTCTCGGCCTCCCAAAGTGCTGGGATTACAGGCTTAAGCCACCGCGCCAGGCCGATTATTATTAATTTCTAAGCATGTGTAGTTAGGAGAACATGGACTTTTCTCTGGAGGGTTCTCTAGTAGGGGTAGTCTGGTTAGGAAACTTTCTATGGCCTCTCACGCACACACACACACCTCTTACACACACACACTCACACACACACACACATGTGTGGATGGTGGCAGGGACAATGTGGTGGATCCCAGGGGCAGCATTACCTTAGTAATTTTCCGGAAACACTCAGCTCTCAGACACAGAACTGCAGTTTACAGGAAGCTATCCATCTTCCTCAAAACGGTTCAGAAAAGGAATCCATTTTCTTTAATATAAATCCTCTTTGTCTTGAGATGTATAAATCATCCCTTCGAAAGAAGCCCTTTGAGGTATCAATTCAAGGCATTCTCTCAAAACATCATCCCTCAGCGCAGCCCTTCCATGGAAACTAATCCTTTGTGGCTGCCAAAAGGCAAAATTCATCCTACTTTTCACTGAATTTCCCATCTAAAGCCCTCTGTTGTCATCCTAGCAATTAGGATGGCATATCAGGGTCAGAATGACCTTAGCCAGGTGTAGTTACCTGGATATGAAGAAGAGCAGAGATGAGAGTCTGTCTGGCACGGTAATTTCAAATTCATGACTCTCTTAATAATGAACATGCTTATTAAGTATCTCTTTATGGGAGAGCGAAGCTGTTGCACACGCTCTTGTCAGCCCATGACTGGGTCGCTTACTCATCCTTGGGTAGCTTTGGAAGTGAAAGATAATGTCAAGGCCATCTCTGTACACAGTCTGATTTTTGGGACATAGCAAATGATAATGGTGCCCTTTTCAGATGCCCTAGGCTCCACCTTACCAGTCTGGTTTGCTCATGTCCAGGTGCTGTGGGTGCTGTGGCTAGTGGTTCCCAGTAGCTGCCTTCTTTTGAGTACTGTTCTCAGGTGACTGCAGCCACCTTACCTGGGGATGTCTGAGAATCACACCCACTTCCATGATTAATGCCAGAGCAACATGTAGTCATCACTGCTGGTTGGGGCTGGATGAGAGGGAGTTTACAAAACCCTGCTCTCTTACAGCAAAACAGGACAGATCCAAGGTGCAATTTATGCTCCAGAGCTCCCTATGAGATCAGGTTGAGGCAAGATTTCACCTGAAGGTCTCATCCTTGTGTAGTTTCTGCCTCACCTCTGTCCTATTCTCTTACTCCTTTATAGATTTCTTCTGAGAACACTGCCTCAATAAATCACTTGGACACAAATCCTTGTCTCAGTCCCTGCTTTTAGGAAATTTAACTTAAACAGGTCCAACTCAAGCTGATACAAAGACATTGCAGGCAGTTATTTGTTCTCAGAGTGAGGAAGCTGTAGTGTGGTCCTGAAGTGCAGTTTAAATGTAACCTTAAGGACAACTGCAACCTCTCTGGTCTTGATGACTACTAATTTTGTGCATAATACACTTACTTGAAGCCTTGGGCTGAAATCTATGGTTGTTTGCATTAGATGTGAATTGGAAATCTCCAAGGAATGACATCTACTTTGGGCATTCTACACAGTCCTGGTTCACTGGATGGATTTCTCTTGGGCATAAGAAGATATCTTGCTGTGAGTTTGCTGTTTAATTGGGCAATGAGAGAAACACACAGAAATGAGGAAGACTGTGGAAACTGCTTAATGAAAGTGCCCACAGCATGTACACCGGGTAGACATTTCGAGACTTGAGAAACTACTTTGGGTTGCATGTAGCAAGGAAGAAGTTTTGACAAGTGGATTTGAATTGGGCCTAGGAGAATGAGTGGAGGACTTTATAAAGGGAGAGACTGTTGGCTTAAGGCTGGAAAAGATTTTGAGCCCTCCTGACACAGCATTTGCTACCAAACAGGGAAATAGTGAGGTGTAATTCACATTCCCTTTACTATAGGGGGCCCACAAAGAGGGGTGCATGGTAAAAGTGAACTTCCACACTCCCACTCAAGTTGACATAGGCGTATGACTGCTTTCGGCTATTGAACTGTGAGGGGATAGGTGGCACTTCTAGACACACATTTTCACAGCCATTATCGCACTCTGCGTCTCCCTTTCTGTTGCTGCTGCCATCATGGGAACATGTTGAGATGGAGTTTCTGAATCATGCCTTTCTTTCCAGAAAACGCTTTGCAAGCACATAAGCTATGTCCCTGGATAAATCACTTGTCTCATCTGAATTTTGGTTTTCTCATCTACAAAATGATGAAAGTTGGGCTGTAATTCTCAGATTCCTTCGAGTTGATCTGATTCTTTGATAAAGGGCCCAGTATCAAATTTAAAAGACTTTGTCTCTTTGTGGAAACACAAAAAAATAGGGAATAGAAATGTCTTCTTACTGAAAATAAATTGTTCCTTATAACATCAATGGACAAAAAAAATCAGAAATAGAAAAATAAAAGTAAATGTCCTTTAGTCTTGTTGTAAAGTTCTGACATTTAGAATCTGACTGCATAGACTTTTGTTCTCTCAAAAAAAACAAGAACCTGAGTGCTCCCTAAGAACTGTGAAAAGTTAATGAACATGTTTGAAGCTCAAATGAATATTCCAGTAAAGTCAGAGGTCTTGTTTATCCCAATGGGTGTAGTTGTGTGTTAAAGATCGTATGAAGTTCAATTTCTTTATTTTATTTTATTTATTGTGCAGAGGAACATCTGTTGTTCAGACTCATTTCTTTAGGGCTGTTGCAAACATATTTCTCCAAACCTATTTTGCTTCCTGTCATCCCAAATTCAGCCATAAATCCCCTTCTACTCTGTTTTGTGCATCGTTAGAAGCCACTTTGTGAGTAAAAGTGCTGCTTGTGTGTTGAGCTCTTGTTGCTTATATACCATACTTGTCGCCTCCTTCTCAGCCTGGCAGGAAATTACCTTCTGCTCAAATGATCCCCTTTCCTTCTCTCACTCTACCATCATTTTAGGATAATTTTCTCTTTCCAGATGATGTTATGGAGTCCTTATGCTGACTGTTCGTGGCAGGGTCTCATGTCCTCAAAGAAACAGAATTCTCATCTTGAATTAAAGAAAGGAATCTTAAGCCTTCTGAAATCATCTGCTATTTAAATTTAGAGGACAGCCTTCTGTTACTCAATTTATACCCAGGTTTTATAGAATTTATACTTCTGTTAACAGGGTGTTAAAATAGGACTCTTCTATCTTTGTTTCAGTGGAGGCTGTAAAAATGTAATCACAAAAGAATAGATTCTACCCCTCAGTTTCTAAAACGGGGTGCTAGACCATCTATGCAAGGTGGTGAAAGAGGTCATGGGGAAGCAGCTTTGCGACCCTTCATCAACCCCCAAATTGAGATTAAACATGATTGAGTTTGAAAAGGCTGAGAGGGAGAGAGAATATCTTTGAAGAAAGGTGGTTTGCTCTGTAACTTTCTCATTACATCTGCATGGGGCAAGGAAGAGGGTGGTTATGTCTGGTGAGATAGTAAATTTGGAGACCTATTGGGGCCTTGATTTGTGTTCCCTGGAGTTTAGGGACCCTGGTGGACTGGTGGCTGTCTCATGCCTGATAAAGTCCACAGAAAAGAACTGGATGGAACACCCTGCCTGGCATGGGAGTGAAGAAGGATGGTGGTGTTGGCAAACAGCAACCTTTCCACTTGATGTCAATGGTAATTCAAGGTGCATGATTTTCTAGGAATTGTGGACCTGCACTTGGGAGCTGGCCTGGAGGTATTTTGGATTTCACTCGAGAGGATGAATGGGCTCACAGATAGGCGGTGAAACCATGGATAGGACATGGACAGACTGCCAGATGCCCAGGGCTTGAGGAAGGAGTTATAAGCAACTAAGGGTAGAAGAGGCATGGCTTGCACTACGGCAGGGACAGTCAAGTGTTTTATGAGGAAGTTTCCTGGAACCCATAAAAGCATCCCAAACAAGAAAGAGTTGTTTTTGAACATCAGTCAGCCTCTTGGTTCCCCTTCCTCCCCACTACAGAGGAGCAAATTACCATCAAGTGGCTTTAAAGGGAAACAAGGCGTTGAAAGAAGAAAGACATTGAGTCTTGTTATTAATGTAATGGTGTTACTTCTATATTGAGTATTTTCCTGCATATTGATAATATATTTATTATCATGTATTGTTTGCTAGAATTTATTATTTTTTAGGGTATCTATTTTTCTTTAGAATGTTATTATTCTATTAACAAATACTGAGTGTCAACTATGTGCTAGTAACTGGAGTGTATATTGGAAAACAAGCATGAAAATACGAATTTTGGATCTCAAGTCCTTTATACTTTGGTAGGGGAGGCACATAGCAAACAGAAAATTTGAATGTAGTGTGTAAGGCCTCATAATGTGTCATGGAACCATATAGAGGGATAATGCAGCTTTGAGTTAAGCCGCTCTGCCTTTTGATAGATACTTTCATGGTTATAAATGTGTCTCTACCTATTCTTTTGGTTGAAAACCATTAATTTTGTCATGTAGTATTTTCATTGTTCACTTCTAAATATTTTATAGTTTCAGGTATGAGTTCTTTTATCAGTAGCGTTATTTACTAGTGTATTTTCAAATTTCCTGAAGTTTTTTTTTCTGCCTTTGGTTTATGCTTTCTAATTTTATTGCACTGATGTCAGAAATAATTTTTAAGACAGTGATTCTTTGGTATTTGTTAAGGTTATACTTGTATAACTATACATTTGTATATACTTATATTTGTGGTCAATTTTTCTATATGTTTCATGTGTGTTTCAAATGGATATATAGCCTGTAATGATTGGACATAGGGTTCTGTATGTGTATATCAAGTATTGTTTAAACCTTATTTATCTTCGTTAATTTTCAGTCAGCTTAATCTATACATTACCAAGAGATGTACGTAAAAGTCTTCTACCTGATTGGATTTATCCAATCCTCCTTGTAATTGTTTTTGTGCTATGTATTTTGAGGCTATGTTGTTATGTAATACTGTTTTGAGATTAAATGTTCCTTATGAATTGTTTTCTTTTGACATATAGAATATTCTTATTTATTCTTTATAATTACGGTAACTATATATATCATTTTTCATCCAAGCGGAGACATTTCGGTAGTGCAAAGGGACACAAAAAATAATTGATAGATTTTAATTGATCTATAGCAGGTATAAACCAGACTCTCCTGGGCAAACCAGGATGCTGGGTCATCATATTTGTGGTACTTGTGCTTATGGTGAGTTTTTTCACGTGTGTTTTTATTCCTTTATCTAAGCATAGCTCCATCAGGTCTGGTTGTTATTGTGAGAATCTTGAGGGATTTGAGCCATGGAAATATCCCCTAGACTGGCTTTGCTTTTGTTTTTGAAGATACCTAGGGGACCACTGGCTCGGGGACGGTTCTTCAAATGATTTCTCTGGATATTCTCACCAATGTGGGTAGTAAAAATCTAGCCTCTCAAACTATGCAAAGCACAATCTCTGCAGCTTTAATACCTAACAGGACACTCTTTTCACCCTGAGTCTGAGCAGAAACAAGCTTTCTTGTTCTATGCCCTAGTGGGTTTTTTTCCCTTCCCACTGTACCTGCAGCATTTAGAGGGTGTTGGTGCTAAAGGGTCTTTGTTCCAACTCAACACTTTTCACAGGCTTTGTCTGCTATCATTCCTCTGGCAGTTTAAAAACCCGACATGTAGGGTTATTTGGTCTAATTCCCTTCGTTACTGCATCATCAACCCTCCCCTTGGCGAAGAGGCCTATTATAGAACCGCAGCTTACTGAGGTCAGCCAAATGGGCTGGGTGCTTTGGGCTTCACTTTGCAGAAGAACAGAAAGACACAGGAAAGGCACTGAAATTTCAGTCGTTCCATTTTCCTTCCAGCCTTAGCTTTTATAAGTGGGATACAGTAGAACAAATGCCTAATTTCTTATTTTACAAATAATGCAACCTGCTTTTCCACTGGAAGGTAAAAGTGGTTACAGCCAGTTTAGATATCACATAACAATTTTCTCACTCTTTTAGTCTGCTGGAAGCCTTGTGAGGAGAAAGAGATTGGGGCAGGTGGGTGAGGACCAGATCATGAGGGGCCACAGAGCCTGTGCAAAGGAGTTTATTTAGATCTGCGTTTTCCACTTAAGCAATTTATGACACCCTCCAACTTTATCTTTTGGCAAAAAATTCTCAAAATCTCCCAATGTCAACTTAAATGATTGCATTGTGATTTTACCTAAATATATACAGCTATAAAACCAGGTTTAATGTCATTACATTCATAGCAGCTATGCAACTGTGAAACCAAAGACAATTTATAAATTTAATTTAAATAAAACTGTAAAAGTAAACAAAATAAAAAAAATTAATTCAATGTGTCAGATCACATTGTTTTGGAGAAATCAAATTGCCACTCTCAATATGACAGTGATCCTGC